AGTCTTGAAAAAAGGGGGTTTATCAAGCCTCAACGGTGAAACGGCAATTACACCATCAGATAGCACAAGAAATTCTCTACAAGATGTGCTACTGAGAAGCAAGGCAGAATGTGTTTTTGATTAGCAGTGAATGTACAAAAAATAGGTGCACAAAACGCTGAGAACTTCCCGGACAACCTAATAATTTGACCCGCTGAACACGACTATCATGGTATTATACAGCAAAAACCCTTGCGACATGTACTACATGGGGGGGGGCAATCACAAGCACTCTTACAGGCCACAATGGGTCTACGCTTTCGAAAAAAACTGGTCGCAGTTTCCTTACAGGAAAGTGCAGGTGAGCAGAGGTGTTAAAAGTTTTGTCGGCCATGTTCTTGGACAAATGCAAAAACAAACGCCCCGCCGAGAACCGATCCTACAGCGTCTCGCCTACTAAACCAACTCGCTATCCGCTGCGCTCTACTACCACGTTTCAAGTGGACTCCATACGTATATGTAAAGACGCTCAACGTTTCCTCGCGATAGCATGTGAAACAGCCATGCGGGGATAAAACCCCCATAACTCCGTTCAGAGAGTCATTCCGCAAATTCTGAAGGTAGATTCGAGTTCACCGTCCCAAGACTCGTACAACGGTGTGCACCTCATTGGAAATGGCCGGGCTGACCTGTTGACCTTTCCTGGTAAGAAGACTATTGTGTAGGGCAAGGAATTCTCTGTGAAACGGTGTGAAACTCAATGGCAAAACTTTTCTTCTTTAGCGCGATATTTCAACTGGGAAAAAAACGCCATTACTTATGAGCCGACCCAATACAATTTGAAAAACCTGGAGCACATAAAACAGTCAAAGGTCAAAAGCATGCCAAAATGAAATAAAATGAAACACACAAATTAAGCTTAGATGTTAGTGTTAGTAACAAATTTAGACATTTTTCTACAATATTTCAGAGTACAAATCATTTGGGATACCATCCCTGGCGAAAACAATAGGAAATTTTTCAATACATGCTCCTTTTTCCATTTAAATTGTAGCAAGTCCATGTTGTGTACGTCTGCATTTCAGTTGCTCTTAAGAGGTAAAGTGTGTTCTTATCAATTTAAATTTATCAAAGGATCTTCTTTTCTGACATTTCTTACGTTTCACGTTTTACGTTCTCCCCAAGAGGCATGATAGGTGTGAAGTGAGATCTTTTAAGGAAGTCCTACACCCGTGTGTCACTAGCCTCCAGTCTCGTTCCCGTGCACTTCTGACCAGAGAAGGTGGCACGCTACTGCAGCTGCGGACCACCTCATGCTGGCAGGGACCAAGATCCACGGAGGTGAGTGTACACTTTGCCTTGTTGCTTAGAGTACCTCTAGAAGCGCCATCAAGTCTAAGCATAAACCCAAGAATGTTCCACACTGGATAGTTCCCTGAATCTTCCTTCCCCATCCTGCTATTTGCACGACATTTAACCTTATCAGCTATCTCGCTGATCACTGTATCAAAATTTGTGGCTCACTGCTGCCATAGACCAAGCATGTTGTCTTTTGAACGAGCCTGGATTAGCTAGCCTCCCCTGTAGAGATAAACAGGTGCATGGTGCTTCTTGAGAAACTCGATAAGTTGTGTTATCTTCAGAGCATAGGCGCAGTACACGTAGAAGTTGCGTTGCACTTGTCAAATGAACAAAATGATACAAGATAGAGCGAGACGGCAATGATCAGTCCCGTTTAAAGAAGCACCATGCACAGGACTTCCGTCCGGGGTCGTAATGTCATCCTAATGGACACTCGCACACACAACAACTTGAGTGGGCTGACCAATGCCAGTACTTTTGTTATCAAAAGCAAAACTATTACCAAATACCAACCATGGAGGGAAAGAATACTCACGCGTTTAGAGGGTGCAATACTCGAGCGGTTCTTAACATGCGATCACTTGATAGCTATGCTTATGAAAACAATAATATTAGAGTGGCTCTCAATATGAAACAAGGACATGCGGGAGTCCATGACTAGGTTCACGGAGGTAAGGAAGGCCCGTGATACCATGCTCAAAAATGTCGACTTCTGTAATAGAGGAAAGAGTCTATTTGCCCTCTCTCCTCAAAGCATAAAAAAGTCTTGAGATTAATCAGGACAAAAAAATGGCGTTAAATTTGGAACATATTGTGGGACTTTTGGGCACTATTTGCCCTTTACTGCCCCAATCTCCCAGAAAAAGACCAGTTTTTGGCCGATTTTTTTCTGCTTGGGCGAAATTGGCTATTAATTTTTTCGCGGGTAGTTTGACCTCCTGAACATGAATATCACGTCTGCTCGGCACGAAGCGTCATGGCTCTCGCGCCAAAATACCCTAAATCACCAAATTCGCTGAAAACGTGTTCCCAGGGGTAGTCTGACCTCCTGAACACGAACATCACATTCCTCGGCGTGAAACCTCCTGGCGCCCGCGCTACAGGCGCTACCGCCAAAATGCTCAAAACCACCGGCTGTTTCGGGCTAGGCGAACGTGATATTCGTATTCAAGGGGTCAAACTACCTCAAGAGGCAACATTTCAGGCACATCTGTCCAATATTCGAGCTAAACCTTTCCACGAAGAAAAAGTCGATCAAAAACTAGCTCCATTCTGGATAGATGGGCCAATCAACGGTAAACAGTGCCTACTTTTGTGTAGACTTCAGAATACTACCTAGCATACGACTGATGAAAATGCATACAAAGCCTAATTTTCATGGGTGATCAATGCGCGACCATTTCAAAAGTTCTTCGGCTGCCAAGCCATGTATAGAGCCTAGTAGGTAAGAAACAGTGTCTGTCTGGTGCAGAAAAATCACCACTGAATTCCTAGAGAATAGTAAGCATAAAGAAAGCCTTCGAAGAAGAAGCAACTGAATGATATCTCGAAAATCAATTTCGGCTTTCGGTCGCTGGTTCAACACCGCATTATTACACTGACGCCGGGATAGGTTTTGGTTTGACATCCGAGCTGAAGGTGCTTGAAAATCGATATAAAATACCTGTCACTAGACTAGTGTCTATTGACGCAGGATAACCCTTCTTTTGGAATGGCCTTGTTTTGTTTACTCCATTCACGCGTTTGCAGTTGCAGGGAAAGCTCTCGTACTGTGTTTTCTTCTGGGCTGCGCTGATTTGATTTAATTGCAAGCAAGACGGCGATGATGTGAAATCGAGAAGTCGGCAGCAATTGGTAACCGAGTATGAAGATAGAAGGGAATGTAGAATGGGACGAATGGTAACCGAGCCAGCAATGGTAGAAGACCAGTAGTTCAAGACGAATCGGCGGAGCAACCTTCGGGGATAGACATATTCGGGAGCAGAAAAAAATTTATAGCTACAGCGACGGATTCTTGTACATGGTTATCATAACTTGTTGCGAAATGCATTGTCCAAGCGATAATAAGACGGGACGATTGTCCCTCACATGAAATGACCAGCCAGGTCATTACCATTACCACCGCTTTTTTATTATTTTGAATGTCTACGTTTTCCCAGAACCTGACCGGGTGTCCAAACATTCAAGCGTATCGATTAGTGGAGGAGTCCTCTAAGCACCTCTGCATTCATGCTTTGCGTCAGCGTCCACAAGCTCTACCATCGTACAATAGCGTTCCGAGGGTGCAGCAGCGTCAGTGACTAGGAAAGTATGGCTATCGATCCGGCGTCCGCCAGCGTCTGCCAGCGTGCACCAGCGTCCACCAGCGCCTGTTAGCGGAAAGTGTCGGGAGTGGAAAGTACGGGGAGATGGGAGAGTAGCAGACTGCTGGTAGAAGCTAGATCGAGACCCATACTTTTCTAGCCCTCGAGACACTGGCACACGCTGGCAGACACCATACCGATATATATGCCTTTTCAGTCACGACGCTGCCGGAAGCTCTACTGGACATTACTGGACACTGATGGACACTACCGCAAAGAGTGAACGCTGCCTAAGCCAACATCAACAAATTTTTCTTTACACAGGTTCTATTATCACTTTTTACATTACTCATAGCTAGTGTCTTCAGCAACTGCGTATGTATCAAACACAGCTGTATGCTCACCATCGAATATCCTAAACTATGCTATGTGAGGGGAGAACGGCTTATCAGCTGTAGTGACACTTTCATAATTAGATAAAGCGTGGGATTGAGGAAGGAGGATTTTAGAAGCATTGTCTTCACCCATAAACAAAATATTCAAACACGTCACATGACCGGCCAGCCTAGCCATGGTAAAACCACTTCTTTCAGCCCCGATCGTTCTCTTCTTCGGCTGCGTATGAAATTTTGCTATCGGTGCAACTGCTGCATCGAGCTCAAACAATAAGTAGGCGTCCTTCCCTGTACGAGTAGTCTAGCCCTCAGTTGTAAAATTATCTCACTTTTGCGACTCTAGGTACGGTAAAGCGGTATGCCTCATATAGTGGTAGTCCTGTCGCCCCTCAGTTGCCCCGCCCAGCGAAACGCAAAAGCTATTTTCCCATCACGAGTTTTGCTTACACCGTGTTTTGGCTTTTTTTTCACTGTAGGATGGTATAGGTACTGGATAACGCGAAGGAACTATTAGTGAGCCAGAATGCAGGCAACACAAAATGAGCAGGTCCGAAGAGCCGGTCCAGAAAAGCTGCCCCGTCGTCAATAAGAATGCTCTTCATAAACTTTTTCTTCTCAATTCGTTCCTGGAGTCCTTCAGCGACTAGAGCTTGTAATTAAAGCCGTTATCTACAATATACAATCGCTACGTTTTGCGCGCCAGCCTATATGTAAACAGGCTTGAGCTACCGCCACCATCCATCCATTATCGAGTGACAGAAGTGTCCCACCTCTTATCTGCCGACCGGTTCTCTTGAACATGGCAGGGATTGTCTTCGGAGGTAAGATACAGCTTGCCTTCAAACTCTCAGTCTACTTTTTTTTCTAATTATAACTGTCGCCTTCGATCCTCTTGGCCCAGCAAAGCACTGTTATCCAAGAACAAGGGTGCAACGCAACATATCCGTTCTCGAAGGAACTATTAAAACACAGCTACGTTGATGTTCACATGGTAATACCCATTAAGTTTTATAGAGCCCGGGAATGATTCCCATTTGCAAGGACATGATTTCACCTTCTTCGTCGACGGCGCGAGAGCATCTGTAGTTGAGTTCACGAGATCAGACGGCCAGGTGCAACACTTGTAGAGTATCATAAATTGAGCACACTAGAAAAAGCATTGCAAGTGAAGCAATGTTAGTTTAGATGATTAAACAAACTTGGACAGGTAGGGACTTTGCAAGCAATCGCTTAACAACTGCTATGCGACTGCATAAGGTGTACTTCCGAGGAACTGCAATACCACGAAGAAGGACAAAAATATCGGCACCACAAATACAACAACAGCATATCTCTGAAAAACAACTAATGGTGTACATGTATTACACATCACAGGATCATTCGTGGTTTATTTATGAATACAGATTTCTCACCCTCTTCTAAGTCGCCAACGAGAATCAGTTTTGATTGTTCTACATCGAAGACTATCAAACAAGAGCCAGAAACAGAGAGAATAAGTGGAATCCTAAAATGATGAAGATGAAAAAAATGTACACTACCAGTCATGTACAAATTATAATGGTTAAAAATAGAGCCAGTGGAACGCTGGAAAAATTGGCACCTCGGGACCCAGCCTCACTAGCAGCACCCCGCTCACATATATAGAACTCGATCCCACTGGACCTTAACACCAACTGCTTACTTTTCGAACGACAACAAGAGGGCGAAAAAGACATCACACGATGAAACATGTCTTCTTCTCCCTCGCTTTAGCCGCGCACCGTCGCAGGGTTCGCTATTCTTATGATACTTACATAGTTACTTCGACCCAATGCATCTTCTGCCGGGCTTTCACTGCAGAAAGGTTCTTCTCGATGACGTCCCTCCTTCTTCTTTGAGGCTCCTCGTAATCGCTTGTTTTTATTATCGGGTGGCTATCGGGGCTGCTCGTGGTAAAAGCAAATGTCCGGGAGCAGTTTGACGACGGGAGGGCATTTTCTTCTGCTACTTCCCATCGACCTGTCGACCTATCTAGACAGCCTCTTCTCGAGTTGACAGGTTTTACCTTGATGGCTTGACGACCTTGTTCAAGCTTCACAAAAATTCACAGGCTATCGCCAGAGCTAGACATGTAAACCGGAAGTAATGGTAAGGAAGCAATGATAGTACAAAATGCCCCCCCCCCGTCGTCAAAATGCACCACATGTCCGTGCCATCGTAGTCGCTTCTCACGTGCCTTCAACTGCATCGGAGCCGTTGCGTGATCGCCATGACGTCCTCGTCTCTGATATTACCCAGTCGCGTCCAGCAGCAGGCCTATCTCAGCATGCTCATTTCAGCCGAAAGGAGCTGCTTCTCATGATTCCTGCAATGGGCCAGCACTCGCTGCCGTGAAGAATCGCAGGCACGGTTCACCATTAGTGGAGGGTTTTGAACGGTTTTGAACGTATCCGTATGGCTTCACGCCTGAAAGGTGGCTCGCATATACGAAACAGGAAAAACAGCACATATGAATCAGGAAAAATCACGAAAACCCAACAACCTCTTCCAGAAGGTCAGAAAAAGAAAACGACCCCCTCCCTCTCGCCAGCGATCAAGTACGACCCAGCCGATGATCTCCAACGATAATTTGCCCCGATAAGTCCTTACCAGTGCCCGGTACAACTTCCCTTAAAGGCACTTTCCGCGATAAAATAAGGCTATGACCTTTCAAATGTGTCAGACGATCCGGAAGGAGATTGCGGAGACTGCGCTATCTTTATAAAATGAAAATCGGCAAGAATTCCGCTTTAAGCTAACCAATTAGTCCCATGAACGCCCCTTACGCCCGTGCTATCTTTATGATAACGACGAGTGGAAATTCGTAAAAAAAAGCGTTTTCTTCATTGCATGCATGTACAAGTTGGAGTCGGTATGGAATCCTATTTAGGGCATTTTCGGCTGTTTTTCTGCTGCTTTTCTCCGCCAATCAGATACCTAGCCCTTTTTCGTTCCTATGTGGGTTCCGTTACCCACAATCTGTGGTCGCGGGCTTTGCCTTTAAGCGTTATCGCCACCGTCGTTCGCAGTGGATGCGTGGACTTCCTGCATTTCATCCAGCCTGCATTTATTCGAGCACTTTGCGCCTGATCCACGCTACCAATAGGCCAGATTGCTTTCCAGCTAGCGGAAGTTCTCCGCCCTTCGATGGGTTCTCCATTACTGTCCTTGGTGATCTCATTGCACCCTTGAAGCTCAGAAATACGGTCTTCTTGACGTTCAGCCGGAGGCCATTCTCAGCCAGCACCTCCTGCCACCTTTGCACCCCGCCCTGGAGTTCCTCCACGCTGTCCGCTATCAAGGCAATGTCATCAGCGAAGAGGCTGGTTTTCATTGGTGTGTCAATGTGCTTCTCTGTCATAACATCCAGAGTTAGGAGGAAGAGGGCTCAAGGATCACCCTTGGTGTACCCTAATCTCTAGCTTCTTTGCCAAGCCGTGTGGGGTGCGCCTACGTACAGCGCATTGCTCACGTCCTTCACTATGGAGACCAGGTGTTTCGGAACGGTTCGTTCTGTGAGCGCTGGATCAACTTGATGCCAAGGTAACTGGAGCACCTCGTCGCATCCCTCTTTGTTTGAAGGTCGGGACAACGGTGCTGCTCCTATACGCATCCGGAATCCTTCGTTCGGCTGTTATGTTGAGGGTGGGCCAACATGATCCATGCTTTCCAAGGCCTTTCCATGCCTCTATCGGTATCCCATCTGCCCCACTGCCTTCAACCCAACCTTCATCTTAGCTCACGGCGGACCTCGTCGTCTGTCTAGGAAGTGATAGGACCTGCATCGCCTTCATCTGTGGCTGTCCTTGCGGAGGACTTATTCATTTACAAGTCCCTCACAAGGGAGGTCTTTGAGGTCGTGGCCCGTTTTTTAAAAATGGTTTGTTGCTTGCTGTAGGGGTCCATGCAAGGTTTACAAAAGTGGGTTTCGTTTTTGCTATGCGTTTCTGGGGAGGTCAAAAACTGAGTGAAAACAATTTGACAAGAAAGCGCGATTTTAACCGTCTTAATGGGCTCTGTTGTAGCTGTAAATTGACAGTGCGATAATTCATGAGGTGTCCCTTCACTATGAATTGAAAAGATAGCAAAGTAAAGCCAATAAGAAAGTGGACGGAGGGAGTAATACCGAAGTTACTTGAACGATTCTCGCAACCGCTGTTTCGCGGTCGGCGGATGGCGGAGTGGATAGTGCGGTGGGCTCTCGCGAAGAAGGTTCTTCGATCGGATCCCCGGCGACTAACTCTTTGCTTTTTCGGATACTTTATACGTTTTTCGTGGTTTTGGATTTACGACACCCATTTTTGACCACGGCGCAGCCTAGCGCCGACTTGCTGCAAGAGCATTCTTCCTCTGAATTGTTGCCAACCCGCAGCAGGGGCTGTTAAGCGCTCATCTCGAGGAGAAAATTTTTGCTGAACGTCTGTATATAGAGGCTATTAATGGCCCTGATGACGATTCTGACCTTTAATTGGCGTCTAGGTCATTTGGCGCCAACATGGCTCTGAACACCCCCCTCACACGAGCTGCGGGTTGGGATGGTGCTAGAATCTCTTGAGAAACTACGATGCTGCCTCACTATGTGCCAAATAAGTACTTTTTTACCCTGAATTGTATTGTTTTCGATGCAGTGTCGACGAAGGTCTCATCTGCTATGTATATTTAACATTATGAATAGAAAAAGCCTCGGAAAAAATGGTTCGAAATCGCTTCTCCCCAGCAAACTTTGCACTCAGTTTTTGACCTACCCAGAAACGCATAGCGAGAAACCCATTTTTGTGATCCTTATTCGGACCTCTACAACATGCAACAAATCGTGATCCTTATTCGGACCTCTACAACATGCAACAAATCATTTCCGAAAAGCGCGCCACGACCTGAAAGACCTCCCTTGTCAGAGTATTCTTTCCACACCATTCACAAGTCGTGGGCAGTATCCACACGCGCTCCCCTTTACCTTCATTTTATGAGAAAGCTACTATGACGAATGAAGTAGAGTACAACAACAGGAGAGCTTCGTCGTGCTGAGTGCTTCGCTCTCTATCCTTCACAAAATGGCATTATTTCCGGTGGCAGGCTATCCCTTTGTGTGAACCTGAAATAGTATCCCCATCAAATCCCCTATGCCACTTACAGGAACCAGCTTCACTTGCACTGGGACGCGAGCGGTTCGACTTCCAACGCCTCTCCTCAGATTTTGTAAGTTGACACTTCTTTTCACCCGCCAATAATGTTCCTGTCCCATGCCTATCTAATAAGTTGAAACCAATATTCAACCGCTGCTGTGCCCCAATCCTTCTGAAGTCTCTTGTCAAAATTTATCAGCTACTAACACCCTGTCACGCACAAGTAAGCTTTCCGAGAAGAGCAGCTGCGTTTTCGACTTTGCCGTTGGCAATCCCTTTGTGGGTTGCGGCACGCATCCTACTTCTATTCAGAATCGTAGTGGCTTACTGAGTGCGATGTGGCATATACAATGACTTTGCGGGGGCTAGCCCATAAGTCAGGGTTCTTGTCCTCCGTCCGCAAATGGTACAAATTTACTGTCCCCGGAGGGTAGAAGGCTTCTCGGCCTGGGCGGGAGTCGACCCGGGATTCGATCCGGGACCGCGCGAGTGGTATGCGCCACTTGTCATTCACCGCCTACTGCTCTGCCTACATACTAAACATAGCTCGTAACATTCTGCTACAACTTTCTACAAGTGTGCAGAGTGCTTCATTACCTAGAAGAGAAAAAGATAAATCGTGCATATGACAAAGAAAGAATGGTTGTTACAATGTCGATTTTGAGTATGTTTTACTGTAAAATTATCAGATCATATAGTTGCACTGACATGAAAGAGTTCGATAAAAAGCTCTCACCCATCAACGACGATATGTTGTAATACACTGAGAGTAATCGCATCACTTCCCGCACCAACAGCTCTATCGACTTTCCTTTGAGCGCACATGTAGTCGTTACGACAAGAAACGATAGGAGGTCGTGGAAACATGAGATTCTCACGAAGTTGGTGAGTCCTGCCAAAGAAAATGAATTAGGCCGAAGTATTCGCTGTCCAACCAATTTACTAATGTGGAGGAGAAACGCTACAAGAACCAGGTGTGAATATGCTTTTTGACACCGTAACCACTGGTTGAAACGACACCAACTGTATATCGACATGTGTACAGACTAATGCTCTGTGGAGTAATGTCCATTCCACGAACAATTATTTTCGATCCACTAGCTACAGCTATTATCATAACTCATATGAGGGACTTACTGACAATGGCAGTATTATAAGCCCGAAGAGGAAGCGCAGCTTCACAACGAAAGCCTGCGCCAATTATGACCTAGTTTCCTTTGTTTCGCTGCAGTTAAAGCCCACGCAAGGCTACTTTCCTCGAACACAAATGATGCCCAAGCAAACTGAGCACAGATTCACGCGTATGGAAAGTAAGTTCCGAATCGCGGCGATATAAGCTTTGAAAGCGGGAGACGCGCACAGCATCTGCACCAGGTCCAACCCACTCAACGTAGCAGTGCTGCGGCGCGCGGAGTCTCTCGACTTCTGGGTACGTGTCTCCCAAGCTCCCTCTATGCCTGTGCCTGCCTAGCTAACTAGCTAGTAAATACTCTGTACATGCGCGTGATGCCACAATTTGAAGGTTTCGCTCAACATCACGAACTTACACCTGCGTGTCACACCTTTCTGTCTAATGAAGGGAAGACAAAAAATCCACCTGTAAACAACTCCAACAGTATTTGCCTCCCATACCCGTCCGTTCGGCCGCGCTGCCAGAATAAAGAGGTCCTGTCGAGCAGCTGGATACTGTTCCTGTACTGGAGAGATAAAACAAGCACCCATTATCCCATTTCGCGGTTTTTTCCCCACCTATAAGGTATAGTATAAGGAGATAGGGTAAAAAATGGAGCACAGTAAAGAAAATAAAGAAGGATGGTATATAGCAACATACTTGAACGACTGTTTTCTCATCAACATTGCAGATATATGATGCAATTTGAGTGGAAACCAATACATTCGATCCATTCACGTCCAGTTGAACGATTCGCCCCTCATCAAACGTTGCGACAACGGCACAAGTGGATCGGAAGAGATATTTCGCCTACAACGAACAGATAACAAGTGCAACATCCAGCACACCGTTACTGTACAGGATTTGATGAAAACAAGACGAGATACACTATGGAATCCTTGTATGGCAAATGAGTTGAACAGAAGCTGAAAAACTTACATCCAAATAATGTACCATGACAGTCCCATTTTCGTGACCAGAATATAGCCTTTTAGAGTCCGTAGACCACATCAAATTGGTGACCTGAAAAGATTTACAACGAAATCAGATAATTAAAAAAGTCTAGCGATGAAGTCTGCACCGTCCATTAATCCTTTTTGGGATGCGGCATGCACTCCCTCTATGGAATCGCATTGGTCCTTTGAATGCTATGTGGCCTGCGCAACGACTTGTTGGGATCAGCCAATGAGCAAGCCAGTGTTCTTATCCTCCCAGAAACATCTGGTGCGAATATGCCATCTCCTGATTGTAGAAAACTGGGTCGGCCTGGGCGGAAGCGATCGAGGATTTGAGCCCCGAACCGCGCGCCTGGTAAGTGTGCCTTTTGCCGCTACCCATAACACGCAGGAAGCTAGGAGGGGTGAACACGCAATCGTATTACAAAAAACTACCTTAGCCCCATCTATGAACTTACTTTTTTCAGTCTTCTTGTGTCTCGTGTCAACAGATGTTTCACAGGAGATGGAGATGTAGAGAATTCTATTGCATGAACTCGTCCGCTGTCACTTCCAACTGCTATGAGACCTTCCCTTGGAGCGACGCACAGCTGCAAAAGAAGCGATACTTTTCTACCATTCAGCCGCGCTGGCGTCGATTTCATCCTACCGTTTTATGCGAACTGAACACATGTTCCGTTCCGTGAACGTATTCTCGCAACTGTACTGCGTATTCTACGCAACTGTTCCAGCTCACGAGTAAGACATAACAAGTCTACAAGGGTTGGCCCAATAGAATAGTAGAATTATGGAAATGTTCTAGCGTATGTGGATAATGATAAGATGAAAACACGGAGTGTTAGGGTAACATTTAGCGAGGGTGTTGAGTGAGTACAAAAACAAGTTTAGGGGAGAGAAATTCAATAATCTGTTTACTATAAGTCTGCGTCCTACTCGCGAAAAAGAAGGGTCAATTACGCCATGTGTCACGTTTCACCATGGTTATCCATTGTTTTCCCAGAGGCTTTCCATGAAAATGAGGGCAGAAAACACATGAAACATTAATATTGAGTAGTTGTGGACAAGCAGTCTCATGTTGCGATATGAGATCCCGCTGGAAAAGACGGCATTTTCCATTAAATCCTACTATTAGCTTTTCCATAAACTCCTACTATTAGCTTCTGCAAAACACAACATGGTAAATGAATTCTTACCGCGCTAACGGGGCCGTTCTTGGTGTTAATAAAATGGAGGGGACCGCTTGGAGCATTAAGACGCTTCCGAGAAGAGGAGTAGCGACCATAGACAGAAACACCGCCGGTAGACGAACCCAGAATCAAAAACTGAGGTGACACAGCGAGGCACGTCAGCTGAAAAAAAAAACTCTCAGGCATAATTCTTAGGGCGGCAGCTTAAGCCCTTCTTGTGTAGAACTGCATCGATATCGTCTGAATAGAAGGCTTGGGTAGAGGTCCTTGTACTGGATTCGCACAAGGATTCCTTTGAATGCCTCTCTAAGGCTATTATCAGCCGTTAAATATTACGAAAAACGTTCTCCACAATACCATTAAAGTAAGCAACATATCCAAGAGAGGCTACTTCTCCAAGAGAGGCTACCGTTCTAGAAGAAGGAACATCGACATACCTTTGACCTCTTGGAGGAACTCGAAGTCATCATTAGGTGATCTAAAGTGACGAGCTCCATGAGAAAATGGGTGGGAGCGCCATCAGCAGTTCCATCCTGAATATCCAGTGAGCACGTCGATGACGACGGTACATCCATGACACGTGGTTAAGAAAGCATTCCTAAATAGCATTGTAAAGAACGACTGGGTTAAAACAAAAAGAGTGGACATCAAAACTCAAGAATCAAAATCAAAAGGGACCATACGTGTTCTAGAATGTTTTTCTTTTCCAATATTTTTTTCTTTGTTTCTAATCAAGTATTCCCAGTTAATGGTATCACCTATAATCACCGTTGAGAGAAATAGCAATAAAATAGGGCAAAAACCAGCAATAAAAAAAATAGCAGGAGAGAAGGGGAACAACTACCAATCAAAGGAATAGCAGCCGAGTACGGGATAATCGTGACCAGCAGTTTGGCACGCGTCCCATTTCTCTTCTGCCTTATCAGCGTTTAGTGACGGCTATAAACTCTACAACATGTTTTGTAGGCGGGCTTGGACGTCATGTCAAATCACAAAGTTACGAATGGAAATTCAAAATACGGTAGACGCTCATTATCTTCTCACAATTCCAATGCGCATTTAAATAATTAGTCAAAGGCAAAGCCCGCCATCACCGATTGCGGGTAACGGAGCTCAAATACGAACGACAAAGTGCTGGATAAGTAATTATTAGTGGAAAAGATGCAGAAAAACAGTCCGAAGTGTCCTCAACAGGACTCCATGCGGACCCTAACTTGAACGTGCATGCATGCAAAGAAGAGCGCGTGTTTGTCCGAATTTCCACTCGTCCTTATCACAGCGATGTATGCTCTTCTATCTTATCACCTCACTTTCACCATTCGGAATGGAGAGAGAGCATATTGGCTACTAGTTAGTAGCTAGCAGCCGATGGAGGGCCGGCCTAAGGGGTGCCCATGGACCCAATCGGTGATAGCGGAGTTTACGGCGAAGCGTTTGCCAAATCCCACTTTTCTGAGGTTGCACAGCCCCCAGAATCGCCTTCCGATCACCTAACACATTTGAGAGGTTGTAGCTTTATTTATTCACAGAAATTGCCTTTCACTTGGTCTTCCACTAGATGTATTGTTAATGTCTTCTAGGCGCACTGATAGATAAACTAAAAGGATAAAGGATAAAGTTTTCGCCGTTGATCAATCCCTTTGTGGGATGCGGCACGCATTCTACTTCCATTCAGAATCGTAGTGGCTTATTGAATGCCATGCGGCCTACATATATTAGGTTGGTCGAAAAGTCCTGCGACACTTTGACCAATTTTTCGGAGTAAATTTTCAGTCACTAAAAGACATCTCCAACCCACAAGGTAATTACCACTAAGGACTAGGACTAGTGCCCTTCTTCTGCACAGCTTCTCATTTCCATTCTTATAGAACTACGGCAACTATGATAAGAAGAAGAGGTGAACCTCATTTTTGGGTAGACGTCGATTTTCGACATTTTTGCCTTCTTAAGGATGCGGTAGGGATCAAAAAAGGTAGTAGTTAGAGACTGCTAACTTCGACGAATAAGCTGGGTATGGTCGCATTCTCAGATCAAGATCCACGATCTTTTGGTGTGGCCTGATCCTAACATGCGGTCTTCGCATTGCGGAGCGGTAGAGAAAAATTGAGTATTTTTGAAGAATTCAAGCGTGACTTCATCCTTGTTGTGAAGTTGGTTATATGGACGAAATTCCTTACCCGCTATCTATGTATCCAGTAGATACCGCCCCTTTGAAGTCCACCATAACCTACTAAAATCTTCTATCCCGATTGCACATCTGCTTTTGACTGTGCAATCTACTTTTCGGCTTTGAGAGATCTTGCGAGCGACATGATGCAATATGTACGCAAGGACCCATCCACTCTACTGACTAACCACAAGATCTCAACAAATGTTCTCCAGCTGTGTACAAGCGAAAAAAACTCGAGTCGGCGCGATCATTCGGTATAGACTTGTCAGAGACGGTTCGACTCAGGAGGCATCCCTTCATAAAAAAAATTTTCCTTATAACAACCGAGATGCGAGTAAGCATGGCGAGTGTCAGTTAGTGGAGCCTTATAGAGTTGCCAACTTACTGGTGGTTTACGCTTCGCTGCGCCTCAAGAAGGCTTGAGTTAAAGCGTCGTCATTCTGTGCTGGTGGCCGACCCCATACATGCCCTCTTCCGCAGGTCTGAATAAGTCCACCCCGGAGCGCTGCCTGCAAAAAAACGAACTCTCGGCCTATGGCGCGAGCCGATTATCCTTCCTCATGAGACAACTTAACAGTGTAGCTTCCTCGAACGTATGGCTGAGTTGCGCGCCCCGCCGCATACCGCCTCCCTAGGCCTCCCCCGAGCCGCGGCTCCGCCTCGGTGGCCTCGCCCCCCCCCCCCCCCCCCCCCCCCCCTCACGAATTCATAATATGGCATAGGTCGAGAAAGTACCTCAATCTCTGAGGTATTTTAAGCTTTGAAAACTTCCACGGAAGCCATGATATACCCATTTTCAGAAACCTCAGGAGACAGGCTCCACTAATCAGAGATAAAACATTCGAAATGATTTTGGTCTTTTTCTAGAATAGTTCAAAGTGTCGCAGAACTTTCGACCAACACTAATACAATGACTTGCCGGTGGCCAGCCGATGACAAGTCATGTGTTTATCCTACCAGACGAATCTGGTACCAATTTACCGTCCCCGAGGAAAGAGGCTGCGGCTTGGCCTGGGCGGCGTGTCGACTGGATTCGAACCGAAGCGACGCGAGTGTAAGCCGCCACTTTGTCACTACACCACCTCCGCCTCCATAGAGGTTGTAGCTAGATAGATAAACTAGGTAAAGAATACTATGAACCATGGAAAACAGCTAAACATTACTGAAGTGAGGATGCTCAGATGGACCTACGGCTGGACTCGGCTGGTCAGAATCAGAAACTAGGACGTCGGCGCGATAACGCAGACGGATTAAATGAAGAAACGAAAGCAGTGACTACGATGGTATGGGCACGTCTTTAAGGCCTGAAGACTACCCCTTTATGGAACCCAGGACAAGCCAGTGCGAGAAGCTCCAATGTAGAGGTGAACGGCGGGCGGCCTTTCCAAGCACCTCCAGGAAGAAGAATTGAAAGCAATAACTGATCGACTGATCAAAAAAAAAAACACCCAGACACCAACGAGTTCAAAAGCCTCTGCGTCGCGAGCCTTTGGTGTGAAAAGTGCTACCTTCGGATCTCTGTTATTTCTGAGTATGAGTAAACTGTGCTAAGGAAGGTGCCATTAATCAAATGGATTCTTCCAAGTAGTTTATATCGTTGATGACTTATTGACCTTGAAGACCTCCTTCTCGTCCACAAGTCTTTAGGTCACTCTACGATCAGCAAACATCACAAAAAGCAGTACGCTATGATCTGGTGCTCACATCTTTCATGAACGAACCTTCTAAACCCAGACAAAAATTTATTAATTTATAAGCCCGTCAAGAAACACACCTGTAAGGAATAGTGAATGGTATACGATAAACCTCAGCACTAAATGAAGACCTGTTCTGCCTTCATTACTAGCGTGAATGGAAAACTCAATGTTCTAGGAAAGACTGAAGGATATTGTTCACGGATGTGCCAACTCTGAAAACACTCTCATGCCCAAGTTCTGAGATACGTTCATGCAAACTGCATAGAGAACTGTATTTGTTGCATTCATTGAACCAAGAACATCTCATTGAACTGAAGATTCACACGAAATTCTCAGAATCAAAAGAAAGAGGTCATTCACGAGAAAGCAGTGGCTATTATTCCGATGAAGCTTCTCTTAGAAAATGCTCTCGACGACTTCGTAGTTCGTGGTCCCATTCGACAAAGGGTGCTATAGTGAAGGCGCTTTTCGTCGTTTCGAAAAACTGCTCCAGATCTAGCCCTGAATAAAAAGCTTTTATTTAGGCGAGAATGTTTCCAAATTAGGCATAGCTGTTATGGTGTGGTAGCCCATTTCACGTTCTGCAAAATGTGAGAACCGGTTTGTGACGACAGCAACTAAGTACTTCGCAGCGCCGTACAGCAGATGTTAAGAATCCACGACTCTAAAGAAATAGCAACAATGGAAGAGATGGAAATCGACCAACTTAAAGCAGAAAGACGAAGAATTCGATAGGAATCGATTGACTCTGAATCAAGAATTTCCAACTTGCGCAAGGTAAGGCGCGATCTTATCACGCATCGGTAGATAGCACTTGTGGATAAACTAGCAGTGTCTGAGGCTTTGAACAACATTTGACCCTTATTGTTATACGCTTTCTGCACAGTACAATTACAGCTCTCGCACAAGGCGAAGTCTATCAAGGTGTGCGACTTACTTCTACTTCTCCAAGGGGAATAAGATGGTCCATTTTAACAAAGAAGAACACAGGAATTCGTCAAATGTAACCAAACCTCACCATATTTCCGCTCGTAATCAAAAGCTTGCACGACCATGTCATATTTGTCCAGATGCTTTACAACCTTCGCTACCAAGGTCTCCTGAGCTTCATATTCCCTCCACAGTTCAACCCATTGATCACCAACAGCGTTCACAGGCACATACGATGCAATTTGCTGGATAGCCTCAAAATGGAATTGTTGAGGTGTTGCAAACGGTTAGACACGAAACAAATCACATATTATCAGAATAGCAGGAAGGGGCACTGTTCCTATCATGGTGCATTCATACTTTGCGACAAAGTAAGCAGCGTCCTGAGCAATGGAAAGTACAGCTGTTGATCCAGCGCTTCGAGCGTCCGTTAGCACACTACATCATGCACTAGCGTTCCGAGCGACTAGGAAGTATAGACATCAATCCAGCGTTTTGAGCGCATGCCGACGTTCTAGGCAGTTTTCCTCAAGCTCAAAAATGCCAGCAAAAATGCGCAAAACGGGATAGCAACGGTTCTATGGACGTCTTCGTTGGACGACAACAATGCCTTACGCGCTAAAAAACGTCACCTAACCAGGCAACGCATCAAAAGGAGTGTTAGAGCATACTGTAAACGTGACATAATGATGTAAAGGGCGAGTTCTTCGAGCAACCGTTGTTACTACAAACTGCGGTCGCACGCAAAAAGTGAACAAAGCTTTGTACGATTTCTAGCAACGCTCGAAACCTCCCAAAAAAAGCACCATAGATAAACTTCACAATAAACTCGTGACCTGCCTTGTCTTCCCGATCGTTCTTTTCTTCATCACTTATGCCACAATGTGGAGTAATGTCACCAACGATAGCTTCAGCCAAATCATGCACCAAACTCATCATAACAGCGCGAGCAACATCGAGCCCTAAACCCATCGTTGAGAGTCTGCCAAAATATATACATAGTGCTCATACACTTGCCTTCGATCTGGCCTTCCAAAGACATTGCTAGTACAGCCATGCGATACATATGAGATGCGACCGTCTCAGGTTCTGGCACCTTAAAAGGGTAACTCTTTTAAGCATGGTCCTGCACTGTAATCACAACCTGCAAGCCGCAAGATTGGCTCGTCGCGAACGCGACTATATCGCAGCGCAAAATTATTCTCAGCGAAAGATTTATGATTGAATTCTACAGCTTGTTTATAAAAATCCCGAAACAAGACCATTGTAAGTTGCTGCCAACCTATAGCACGGGCCGGTAAGTAAGCTAACCAGGGAGGTCTTGCAAATCATGGCGCGCTTTTTTTTAGCTTCTGGGTTTCTTGCATGTTGCAAGGTTCACGCATGAATCACAAAATAGGCTTAGTTTTACTGAGAATGCCTAAAAAGAGTCAGCTTGTTGGGCTCTGTTCCAACTGTAATGTTGAGTAGGCCTGGTTTATGAGACGTTGTTCAAATTTAATCGAACAACGCAAAACATCGTAAAAAACCTTAGTAGGCACGTAGTGAGGCAAATAAGTTTCTTCTGTAATTTCTGCAGCACCTCTTCAATGGTTGGCGATGGATTTAGTGGATGCCAGCAGTGGAGTTTTAGGATTTTTTTTCACTTTTCAAAGTTGAATTGAAATTACCTGGGATTTGTTCATAAGTTATCCTACTTTACATAATCGGCTATGTCCGTGCTTGTGTGTGCGCGTCTGTCTGTCTGTCACGAAATTCATAGCGCCGGTCCGAGAAGCTATAGTAAGTTGATTCCAAGCAGTGATATGGAGGCTGTGACGGGAACATTATTGGTGGGTGACAGGGAGTGATATCAGCTGATAAGATCCGGTAAGAGGGAGAAAGGGTCTTCACTTTCGGCAATTCTGCATTTCTTCAGATTGATACGTATGTAATGCTTTTCGTCATTTCTGCACTTTCCGCACTTCTGCAGTTTCGGCATTTCTGCATTTTCAAGTCGATAAGTATCTATTGCTTTTCTGCAAATTCCACACTTCTGCATTTTCCGCATTTCTGCATTTCCTCACGAACGCAAACTATGAACGCGGCCATAGTGCGGGACACAACAACAGTGGGACGTCGGTTCCAAGGTGTGGTATAGGGTGTGGGAAAGGAACATTATTGATGGGTGACAGGGAGTGATATCAACTGATAAGATTTGATAGGCAGAGTTAGAACGGTAAGGTCACCATACTCATAACGCAGGACACAGCATCAGCTAGGCGTTGACTTCAGAAAATGATGTACAGTGGGAGATGGGACATCGACGGCAGGTGACAGGAGGTGATAGCAGGTGATAGGGGATTATAAGGAACGTTGCCGTTGTTGCTCAGTCAAAGTAATGAAGCTTTTGCACTACCAAATTGTAGAGCAGTAGTGATAGGGACATTGTTGACGGGAGACAGGCAATCTTATCAATTGATAAGAGATAAGGGGCCGTTCTTTTACATCTCTTATCACTATACTGCCAAGTATTGAAGGCTCAGTGTGCAAAATTTTCCTTTAGTCATCACCTCCATGGTAGCGCTAGAAAATGAACTCACCCTACTATATAATGTGCTATACTATACTTCAACTATACTTCTAAACTTTGAATTACTGATTAGAACGAATAACAAGGGCTCATAGTTCATTTTAATAGTTATACTTCAGCGAGCGGATTGCATGCTGATTGAAAAGGGAAACGTACAACGGTAGGCATTTCGGCAGATAATGGAAACGAAATATGCTCTTTTACTGAGCGATTCAAACTGCCCTGTATTGGCCGACTACACATTGCATCTACATCTACAGATTTATGTATTGTATGGGCGTAATGGCGCGGATCACACCCCTGCTGCGAATAGAAGCCTGTGCTAAGTAGTGCACGATCCCAAGCCTTGCTCTATCTGCTACGATTCGAACACTACACCGCCGTATGAGCACCCCAGAAAACGTTCCGTTAAAATTATGGAGCGAGCCTGGCGAAGCCAGGCTAGCTCGGCGAAGCCGGGCTAAAGAGAAGGAGGAGAGCTTGGTGTTAGCCGGACGATCCGACTGGTGGGAACATAAGAGTGTTAGGTTTGGCCCCACTTACTGAGCTGCTCAGAAAAAGAATGGTAAGCTCACAACATTAGTGCCTGATAATGCACAATCAGCAGCCATGTATACAGTACTTGAATGTGTTAAGACGAATCACAAAAAAGCTTTGCCACGATTTCTATGTCTGAAAAAGCTATTGAAGACTCACTCCCATCTTCACCCATCCTGTACGCTTGAGGTGCTTAATTGAATCTAAAGCAGATAGAAGCTCCATGCTTTTGCTGGAAGTCATACCTCTGAAATAAACATCACATGTAATAACGCAAACGGGACGAAAGATAGTGTTAAACTGCATTCATACCTTGCGACAGTGAACAAGTGACGAAATGGTTAAATACAGAAGTGAAGTATTAGATTGTCCGGAAAGTTCTCAGCGTTTTGTGCACCTATTTTTTGTACATTCACTGTTGATTAAAAACTCGTTCTGCTTTGCTTCTCAGTAGCACATTCTGTAGGGAATTTCTTGCGCTATCTGATGGTGTACTTGCCGTTTTACCATTGCTTGATAAACCCCTTTTTTTCAAGATTTTTCTAAGCATGTAAAAAGAGCACTTCGGACGATTTTTTTCTTCCACTATAAATTGGGGCAATCCGCAATCGAAACAGCTCAACAAATTAACTAGGTGTGGGGGCCCAATAGTGCTAGAGAAAGCACTGTGCGGCAATGGCTGAACAAATTTCGTTCTGGAGATTCCAGCCTTGAAGGTGAACCTCATAGCGGTCGACCTAAAGCAATACCTGACGAGGATTTTAGGGGGATTTCGGAGGCTGATCCATCCCAAACAGTTCGAGAGATAGCAGAAGAGCTAGGCCTTGGCAAATCCACTGTTGCAGATGGTCTGGAACGCATTGGGAATGTTAAAAATCTCGACAATTGGGTGCCTCACAATCGGAGTGACCGGCAGGAATCGGCACGTCCCGAGGTTAATTTTGCATTGCTTTTGCGCAGCAGAAACGACCTGTTTTTGGGCCGAATTGTCACCTCTGATGAAAAATGGGTCATATATGATAACAGAAGACGTGCCGGACAGTGGTTGGATTCCGAGGAACTACCGAGGTAATTTTCAAAGCCGAACCCTCACCAAAAAAAGATTCCGGTCACGGCTTGGTGGTCATCGGCTGGTGTGATCCACTATAACTTTTATCACCAGGCCGAACCATCACAACAGAACCCTACTGTGAAGAAATCGACGAATTGTACCGAAAATTTTGTCAGATGCAGCCAATACTTATCAAAAGGAAGGGTCCGATTCCTTTGCATGACAACGCCCGCCCACACGTTTCACAAATCACTATCCATAAATTGAACGAGTTGGGGGTTGAAGTTCTACCTCAACCGCCATATTCTTCAGAACTTTCGCCAACCGACTATCACCTTTTCTAACATTTTCAGAACTCCCTTGCTGGAAAATACTTCATCAATCAAGACCAGGCAAAAAAGCCTTCGTGGATTTCGTGAATTTTCGACCACCCAGTTTTTTACTTTGATGGGACTTCTCGACTGCCGTCACATTGGCACACGTGTGCTGATTCGAATGGTGCCTCTTTCGATTAAATCCGATGAGTATCAAAAAAGTTACGATCGTTTAAAGTGAAACACCCAAAACGCTGAGAACCTTCCGGACAACCTAATATATTAGATGCGTACCGAAGAATAAATGCGAACTAAGGAACTGCAGAGCTTCAGAATGAAGAACTGCACAATCGACTAAAAGCGCAAGATACTACCGATTCATTTCCGTAATGCTTCATCTCATCAAATGGACACGTATCCAATCCTCTTCGTTATTTCTTCAGTTCTGTAACGAGGCTTCTGTCAACCTTTCTTCCGCTGCAATCTGCGAAGGTGTTTTCTCATCTCCTTTCGGGCCGAGTATTCCAGGGGGAAAATAAGGAACAGTAGCTTCTGGCTCACCTGAAAACGTAGCCCTCAAACTCTATACGTGCACGGCCTATTTGTGAAGTGTCGAGCCGATATAAGCAGTTCTAGGACTTCCCTAACCGAGCACTTCATGAACTTTGAACTGCTTTCGCAGCACCTATTATTTATAACCAATACTAGCCTTCAATGCTCGACAGCTTGACTATGCGAGCTACTGGGTACGCCCTCACCATTGTATCCACACTGTTTCAGCCCAATCTTTCTCTACAGTGTTTGTTCATAGCACCATGCAGACGGAAAACGCATCAGCTTTAAACAAATAGAAAAAGGACTAAAGTATCTCGCCAATGCATGTTTGAAAAGCACCAACGAAACGGAAAAATAGAACAATTTCGAACCTTCGACTGTTTTCATGGATTGAACTCAGCGGGAATTCTCGCTGTTGATCTCCCCTGGGTAGCCTAACACGAACAGTTCAGCGCTCAGTTGCGCGAAGCCTCCCCATACACCCACTCTGCCGAAGACTCACCTCGCCCCTCCCCAAGGAGAACCGGGTATGAGGTGCGTGTGCTTCTTTGGTTTAGCTTAATGTACACACTCAATTTACTACTCGCCGCTAAATCTACAACAGGAAAAATTCAGGGACGAGTTTCCGCGGCCTGGAGCAGGCTTTTTTGGACTGGAGCGCGCTTTCCCTTTGATGGCAAATTTGCTAGTCACTTCTTCCTTGTCTTATATTGCGACGGAAGCTGAAAACTGTGCAGAGGGGGGAAGTCTGTGAAATAAATCTCCGTTGAAAGGTCATTTGTTTGGTACATCCCACTACTACTACTTAGCCACGAATGTCACCATGCTCAGGACGTGGTGCTTTTTTTAAGAAGCCTTTCTCAATGTCCACCGCAAATGTAATCAGAACTATAAAACAGATATTTTATTTTAGAAGTGTCATTTCTTGAACTTCAGTAACAACTCGTCATACCATTTACTGCGGTATATTTCCTAAAAACTGTCTGTGAGTAGGTATTACTGGAAATTATAGCATAACCCGAGCAAAGACCAAGACTGCTTCAGATCGCAAACATGCCAATTAATCGCCTTTAATGGAGTCAAAGTAAAGCTGCCAGAGACTCGAACTCCCTCTTCTTTTGTGGAGAGGCACTCGTTGCTGCTACAAACGGCTTGCCTTTTTGTATGATGCGAAGTCTGATGACTTCGCTTTACCCATTCCCTTATTACAAACAAATCGAGGGTAACCCAATCATATCTACATAGGATATGTTTCTTTCACGTGCAAAGTTCATTCGTGTCGCCCATTAAATACCTCGAGACTACAAGCAGAGGGCAGGAGATTCCGGCTGATCAGAATCATGTTTTTGAGCAAATCATGCTTCGTCATGAATGTTCTCAACTTTCATGAGCAGGAGCTCTTACGCTCAGCACTTCTCAGCGAATCATGGATCACCCATCATCTGACATGAGCGTACAACAGTGAAGAATTCATAGCGTACAACACTGAAGAATCGGTGAATATCGAAGCTGATAGAACCAGACTAGATGTTTAAATACGCGAAGAGAGGGAGCCGCGTCTGCTAAAGGTTTTGAGAAGTGACACGTAGCCTTTTTGTAGTTTCTTCCGAGCTCATCATTTATTCCGTGATTATCGGCAATTGCTTTTCCAGACAACGTGTTATGGCTACTATTAAAAAGTTCGAAATACTGCACAAACAAAAAATAAGTTGTAGGAGGCATCACAAAGCCAACGATGACAGTGTTTAATCGCGCGTGATGAGTGGCTGTTAATCTTACTGGGCGAAATAGTTCTATTCTTCGTTGCCGCAGTCTTGAAATACATTCAAGAGAACATGAATTGTGACTAAAAATTTAAGAGTGGCAATCCTGGACGAATGACGAATGTCACTGTAAGAGAATTGTGTCCATTTCCTTTCGAACTGCTCACATCGTTTTTATAAGATATACAGCAGACGGGAAGCCACTACCGACTGTGCTCAAGGATTGCGCGCTCCAGTCAGGGCACAGCATTCGATGGGGATTTTGGTCGAGCCTGTAGCACGCCCCCCTTTTTTGCCGTTCGGTTTTTTTTCGCCTTAAATGAAACTATGAAACGCCCACTATGAAATTCTACTTCTATGAAGGTGCCCATACTAAATGGACGACTTGAAGTCATGACATAATAGAACAATACGGAGATGATTGCAAACAAAAAACGGTACAATCGTATTATGAGAAACTCGTATGATGAACTTCTTCGATGGCCGTTTTGAAAACACATGGTAATAATAACAACAATATATCGCGATTAAATTCAATGAGCATTCGTTAACCTGACGTGAACTCCCTCTCTGGGAGCGGCCATCAGCGACCACAGTGTTAACATCGTCTATTCCCAAGATTGAGGACGAGGAAAAGAGAAAGTTAGGGCTTGTCTCACTACGTAACAGTTATACAAACGGCCGTAAAAATGCATTACCCCAATTATTGGAGTACGGTAGCAGAAGCGCATGTAATTGCAGATGTGACCGCAGATCGTTCGGCATTTTAGCCATGGAGCGAGAATTTTCAGCAAAGTAGGGTGTCTTTGAAGGACCATAACTTCCTCAAAAGCGGACCCGTGGGGAAGAGGAGACCGTACTCGTGTAGAGGAAGGATTGCACTTCCTAAATATACTGAAACGTTTATGAAGGTCGCAAAAATCACAAGAGAAATCTGCCCATAGGGATTCCATGGGGAGTGAAGGGTTGAAGTTTAAGTTGAACAGGTTTGAACCAATATATTTTTTGTAACTCATCATTTCACAAATCTGAGAACGGATCCGAGTGTTTGAAGATTTTCTCTTTCTGAAAACCTCTTGAACTGTTTCTGAAGCTCTCGGGATTCATGAGATCTCGCTATGGGATTTCTTGAGGAAACACTCCCAGCTGCGCGAAAAACCCGTTTCCTGTGTACCGTTCCAAGTGAGCGTGTTCGAATAACCAGGAACGCATGTAGAACGTATCGTGTGGTGGAGCAGGAGCAGGATATGGTTCGTTTAGCGCCGATCACGTCAACTTTGGATGCGCCGCTCACTGAGGCGCCGCAGCGGTGATGGGATGGTGCAACTTGTGCGTAATGTCTGTTCACGCGAGCAAATGTGTCTATAAGGTTCAGGGAGGTCCATGGCGAGCCTGTGCACTTGTTTACAGTGTTTTCCGTTGCGTATTGAGGAACATGTCCCTGTCAACGCTGCCAGATTCGTGCTCTGCCAATCGCTGACTCCGATAAAGGAGACCAACTGCTGGAAAACGTCTGATATGAACGATATGGTAGTCCTGTCGCTTGTCGAGAAAAAAACAGGTTGGCTCAGCGCCAAGCGTGACCGCGGACACGCCATATCATTGGCAGCGAACCAGAGTTTGAGTTGTACTGTTTAGTTACAAACGGACTTAGGAGATAATGTCGACTTATTAATATTTGCAGTTATTTCAGATTAGTTTGGATGAATGAAAGTTTTGTATTATTTTTTTGCATATCCGAGTTCTCTAACAAAGCAAGTTTCGTTGTACAGGACTCAGCACAATTGACAATTTGCGCGTGCTCGTTACTGGCTGCCGCACTCACTACCGACCCCCCCTCTCCTGGCGCGCAAATACGACCCCCCTGTTGGGGATTCCCCAACCAAACGATGTGCCCTGGCTCCAGTGCAAAAAGCCTGCTCCAAGGCCCGGAAAACTCGTCCCTGAATTTTTCCTTTGTAGATTTAGCGGCGGAGTGTTGCTTACGTTTTGAGTTTCTTCTGTATTTTTCACTGCTTGCATATACTGCTTCGCTACTTAGGGGTGGAGTTATCACAATCTTTCTGGAGTTGTGATAAATTCCACTTCATAGCAGCTTACAGTAAGCTATCAGGCCTTCATTTTTGTGGTAAGGAACTATTTATTTTCGATGTGGAGTCGATTAATTATGAAGATTTATAACATGCATGTATTATATAGTTTTACCAGATACATATCTTGACATATATTTACAATACTCTTCATTTCGGATGTAGTCACTCTCGCGAGCGGTAAATGTCCCCAAACCTAAATGAGGTAAGCATAATCTTGTAGAACAGCATTACTTAAGCAGTGATCTTACCTTTTCATGCTCCTCTCAATATTTTCCTGCGCTCGCGTCTCGTTTCCTGAGATGCTTCTCTTCATTGGGGTGCTGAAATTTTTTTTTGCTGGATTGGTGGCTTGTTCTCTGCGAGGGAAACCCTACCTCTCTCATCCACCGCAGGGTACACTTGGCTTCGAAATCTATATACTTAAGCTTCTCTGGCAGCGTACGCACATCCGGGTGGTCTCTTCGAATGTGATGTTCAGGCGACTGAAGGAAAGTGATTACCTACCGAAGATTAGCGAGATTATATGCAATGCTTACTTGTGAAACGGCTTCGGCAATGTTTGTAGTCCGAATATAGACTAATTCCCACTTTGTTCCACATATCTTTATAAGGGCCGTCGAACCACGTCGCATGCTAGTATTCCAAGAATTTTTTGCATTCCGCATAAGCGAGCGTGGCCGCCGCTTACTGGAGGGTTCCACAGCGCTCGAACTCTGTAAAATTGTGTTTTGTTGGAACAGAAATACTTCGCTGGGAAACCGTACCTCTGGGTAGAGTCGCTTGGGAGGAAAACCACTCCTTTTATTGTGTCCCACCACTCGGTCACCCCCACCGGAATCTGGCCGTGGCCACTGGATGAACTGTTCAGCTTGGATGAGTTCTTGCGCCTGGAATCAAATGCTTAGTGGGATTTCTCTTAAGCCAGCTGCGAAATAGATTGTTACCTATTCCAGGCTTGCGCCAAGTGGAAGGCGCAACCTTCAACCTTCGCTTCAGGGAATAGGCGCCGCGCTGCCGCGATCGACGCCTTCTCAAAATCAAGGACTATTCGAAGACGCTGCACTGGTCTTGGACGGTACTGTTCGAAGAGGTCCTTCAAGTGCCCAAAGATCTTCGTGTAGACGCCCTCAGTCTTGTGGGCCGTCATCGCATAAAGAAGTGGGACCTCCACGCCGCCGTCGCATACGCCGTGGACGCAGTACAACTGCATCAGTTCCTTGGGCTGCTTGGTGTGAACACCATCAGCCACTATGGCGTATAGCCCAGTGCAGCACGCCATCTGTAAAAAGTTTTTTAAGGACAATTCCTGTTGCAGTACGTGTGCATCTTACTTCGATGGTCTCTTCGGAGTAGTACACATGCACTTCCGGACCTTGCTCCTGAAGAAACCTTCTGCCGTCGCTAAGCATCGCGAGATCATCCGGAATATGCTCCAGGGTCACCGCTCTATCCTTCAACGAATTTATAGCCCTGAAACAAACAGCCTGGCCTTGAGACAATGTTGCATATCAGAGTGGGACGTAGTGCCCCAGAGCGGACCTAATGACACACCCCACGGGGAATTGCCAAAATAGTGTAAAAAAAAGGGCCTCAAGGAAATCACCTCGATATCGCTTGTCTTTTCATCCCAAATCCCCATCCATAGAGGGCCGTGATGACGTCCTCTGTAATACAGTGACAGTACTCACAATCCGTGCAATTTTCACTGCACACTCACCATCATGTTCCTGGCTCGCCTTTGTTAGCATTTCCTCGTAGACCTGCCTAGGAACGCGCCCCGCATATAACGGGTCGCTCTTTATCTCCTGAACTTTCTGCAAGATGTAAGTATTAATATTGCAACACTATTACAACATCGACAATAACTAAAATTGACGACAATTTTAGTACCTGATATCCAACTCTCTTTGCTTTATCATCTCCTCCTTCGACTGGACTGCAGACATGTCCTATAGCACAGGGGTCGCTAAGGAACTCATCCCCAACGATCTTGAGGAAAAAATCAATTTCTTACGTGTAATCACTGTAAAACGACATAAAGTAAGGCCCAAACCTTAATCGCTTTCCAGGTGTTCATTTTCTTGCAAAGTACACACTGGTAAACGTCCGCGCTCTGGTTCCTGCGAGCTAATGCAAAGACGTACGAAAGCATCGAACCTGGAATTTTATAGAGTAATACTTCCCTCTTTCCATACTTACTTACCTCCTTCTGTCCTTTGAACGACGGTCGTTGTTGAGAAGCTGCATTGCCAAAACCAACGTTTAGCGGCACTTGACCAGGCAGCCCACCCTGAAAATAGGTGTAGAGGCCCTGATGAGGGCCGTTAACTTGATAAAAGTTGGAAAACATGGTGATAACAAAGCGAAGACTAATCAACACTAATGCAGGCTGAGCTGCTTTGATTTAGGTGTGTCGGCTAGGGGCAGGTCATGACCCCGATGTTGACTTTAATTTCCTTTTTTCCTGGAGAAGGTGTGAAGACTTTGCACCTCGCAGGCATAGCAGTCCAAAAATGTCAATGCCGTCTCTCTCCCGGTTCCCTCTGGCGGTAGTTAATGAGAAATGTCACCCTCCAATGATGTTACTTCGTTAACGCAAGCAATTAAGGAAGTCTCAGGGGTGAAAGACGAAAACTACTCTGAAGAAACGCTTACTTGTGAACATTTGTTTATTTTCTCCCTTATTGTTATTGTTTTTCCAAAGAACTAGCTGTGTGGGGGTTGAAAACAATTTCCCCCTTTCAGGACTGCAATGGATTTATGAAGCAGACCTGTAGAATGGGGGTTTCAACAACGAGCTGAGTGCGAACTGAGAAGAAAAAAGTGTTACGATCCTATAAGTGTCGTAAAACTAAGCTCTCCCAGCAAGCAAACAGCATAGAATCTAGGGCTTATTACACTTACCTCCGTATTGTGAAAAAAATCCAAGAAGGTAGGTAGAGTACGTGCAGCAGAAAATAGCAGTTGAATAGTAGGTAAGTAGCTTGAATAATGTGGAGTAGCTTGAATATGAACAGAAATGTGCAGTCAAAAGAATAAAATACGAATATTCTACGAAAGGGAACGAAAAAACCAGCTCCACATTATGTGCGTTGCACCAGAAAGAACAGTAGCAGTTGAATAGTAGGTACAGAGCTTGAAATAATGTGGAGTAGCTTGAATATAAACAGAAATGTGCAGTCTAAAGAGAATAAAACATGAATATTCTCAAAAGGCGTAGAAAAAACCAGCCTCCAACGAGTGCGAAAATGTGAGTTACGCGTTTGTCCGCAATTCGGCGTCCACGCTGGCATCTTGCCAACGTGGGCCGGCCAATTATCTCAAACGAGCGGCGGAATGCCTTGGACGAGTTCTCCGTCACGAGACGGCGCCGCATCAGCGGAGTGGTGGGTGGCAATTGCGGCCGCTACGCCCCAATGGCAATCCGGCCGCGCCGCGAACGACATACACCACCAGGCAACCAGAATGCTCGGAGCTAGGCGTCCTTAATCCATCTGGTATCTGACCTTGCGACTGAGACGCAGAGGAAAAAGATCTAGTGGTCTCAGAGCCAACGGCGTTGGCTGAATGGTTTATTTGCTGGCGGTTGTTCCAGGTGTTCCAGTAGAAGCTTTACCCATCGCGATTTATGGCATTTATTTTTATGGTCTCCTGGAAGCCGCATTGCTTGTATTGAATGGTTATTGCTGTTCTTTCACCGGGAACGATTCTTGAAAAAGGTTGGGGTTTTCTTTATACACTTTGTTTTGCTTGCAGTTCCTGTGGTCATTTTTTCAAGTACGGCTTTGGGTGTACGCTTCACATTCGTTTGAAATGCAGATTCCTGTTCGATTAAAGATCAACTAGTCAGTTTGGTGCTGGCTGTTCAGACTGTTATGCGCAGTAAGTAACTCAAATCATCCGTTATTTCAGTGTGTCAATTTGGTCTCCCTGACTTATGCTAAGCGCACCTATAGTTGCGAGAAATAACCCATTAATAGTGTATTAGCTCAACATTTGTTGAACAATTTCGAGGTTCAGTCAGGTGGATCAGTCTTTTTCGCCAGGTGGAATCAGTCACCTGTCGCATAAAGCTTTAATTTAGTATGTTCTAAAACATCCATTGTTCAGTTAAGTTTCCCGTCCATCGTTACTGGATTAGTAGCAGACCTGTGTGGTAAATCTGGCGGGGTTACTGCAATTCATAATCATTGCGCAGTTGCCCGACGTTTTTAGAAAAACATGCATAGCACATCAATCGAGAGCTTATATAGCGCGCCAGTACTCTATACTGTTTTGTTTTTATTCTTTGGTTATACAGTGCAAAATGAACTGCTTAATGCATGTGTATGGTTTGGATAAAGGTGGACATTGCATGAAGTACACAAGGAAGTGTTTTTTAGTTGGCTATGCCGCGACCCCGAGGGATGGCAGAGATCTGTGTTTGAAAGTAATATGAAGGTGTTAATAAGAGTCAGTCTCCAAAAGCTTATTCACAGCACTCGCTGTTAAGAGCTCGATTTGATGGTGATGATTTCTCGATTTTTTCCGTTTCTGAGGATAATCATCATTTACTGTCTCCGATGAATTGTATTAGTTGTCCGGAAAGTTCTCAGCGTTTCTGCGTTTTCATTTTAAACGATCGTGAGCTTTTTTAATTCGGATTTGATCGAAATAGGCACCATTCGAATCAGCACACTTTTGCCAATGTGACAGCAGTTGAGAAATCCCATCAAAGTGAAAAACTGGGTGGTCGAAAATTAACGAAATCCACTAAGGCTTTTTTGGCGGTTGGCGAAAGGTCTGAAGAATATGGCGGTTGAGGTAGAACTCCAACCCCCAATTCGTTCAATTTATGGATAGTGATTTGTGAAACGTGTGGGCGGGCGTTGTCATGCAAAGGAATCGGACCCTTTCTTTTGATAAGTGTTGGCTGCATCTGACAAAATTTTCGGTACAATTCGTCGATTTCTTCACAGTAGGGTTCTGCTGTGATGGTTTGGTCTGGTGATAAAAAGTAATAGTGGATCACACCAGCCGATGACCACCAAACCGTGACCAGAATGTTTTTTTCGTGAGGGTTCGGCTTTGAAAATTACCTCGATGGTTCGTCGAAATCCACCCACTGTCCGGAACGTCTCTTGTTATCACACATGAACCATTTTTCCTCACAGGTGACAATTCGGCCCAAAAACAGGTCGTTTCTGCTGCACAAAAGCAATGCAGAAGGAACCTCGAACGTGCCGATTCCTGCCGGTCACTCCGATTGTGGGGCACCCAATTGTCGAGTTTTTTTTCACCTTCTCAATGCGTTCCAGACCATCTGCAACAGTGGATTTGCCAAGGCCTAGCTCTTCTGCTATCTCTCGAACTGTTTGGGATGGGTCAGCCTCCAAAATCCCTCTAAAATCCTCGTCAGATATTGCTTTAGGTCGACCGCCATGAGTTTCATCTTCAAAGCTGAAATCTCCAGAATGAAATTTGTGAGCCATTGCCGCACAGTGCTTTCTCCAGCTCTATTGGGCCCCCACTCCTGGCTAATTTGTTGAGCTGTTTCGATTGCGGATTGCTCCAATTTATAGTCGAAGAAAAAAATCGTCCGAGTGCTCTTTTCACATGCTTCAAAAAGTCTTGAAAAAGGGGGTTTATCAAGCAATGGTGAAACGACAATTATACCATCAGATCAGATAGCGGAAGAAATTCTCTACAGGATGTGCTACTGAGAAGCAAGGGAATGAGTTTTTAATCAGCAGTGAATGTACAGAAAATAGGTGCACAAAACGCTGAGAACTTTCCGGACAACCTAATAATATGTGCTAGTACCTCATAGTGAAAGGCTACATTTGTTTTTGAGGTTTTCGAGGAGGATAATGAATTAAACGAGTTCTGCTTTCCAGTGCCTCTCATTGGGATCAATATAATCGTAATTGCGTTCAAGCTGATATTGGGATAAATTTGAACGACTCTACTTACATCTGTCACGTTTCGCATACTCTGTTGTTGTGTTCATTTATATTATACAACCCCACACAAGCCATGGTTAAACTAGATAGAAATGCTGTTCTGGAATACGCCACTTTTAAAGTTCCTTACGAAGAGCTCAATATGGAGTTTCGGCGTGGACATAAGGTACGTATCCCATTTAAAATGATTAAAATGTCTGAAGACAGTTTCTTCGGCTCTTCATGAATCATTTTGTTGAATATACTCTAACTGTGGCTGTTTTCGCTTATGTTGTCTTTTGAGGTAATCACTTTCTTTTAGAATATGGAGCGGGCAGGTGTAGGGCTGAAGCGGTCGTTATCATCGTTGCGAAATATTTTGTCTGAAAAGGATGGATGTATTTCAGTAACAGCGGTATTCTTTTTATCAGCATGATAAAGTTTTCCTAGCACCAATATTACCACTTTCCAGGCCCGTGAATATTTTCGTGATTTCAAATCGAAGCTTGAGCTACTCGACTCTGCTAAGAAGGATGCTGTTAAAAAACAGAGACAGTTCATCAAAAACATGCAGTTTAGGATTCAATTCTTGAGAAACGAGGTAAGTGCAGTCTCTGTTCTCAGGTCAGCTTAGCCAAAGGCAAATTTGTTCACTAACTCTTCTCTTCTGAAAACATCGGTTCGTTTCCGACTAATAAACTCGATCAAAATAGGAAACGTGTAACGATCTGTCTCAGTCCTCACGTAAGTTGCAGGCAGTTCCATCTCCAAGTTCCATTCAGGAGGGATGGAAACAGAATTGGTTGAAGTCCGCTGTGCGGATTAAGGCTTTTCGTTCGTTGAAGAGAGCTTTTTATTCAAGTTAGACAAGCATATTCATCTAACTCGCCGGCTGACCCTGAACCAATTGACTTCTAATTTTGGAGCTTCGCGGTGTGTCAAAGAAAGCTTTGTCAGACATCCAGATACCATAGGGCTCCGGAGCAGTACAACACATAGATCATTATTTGAGTTCATCGCGTATGCAAATATTGTTGAGAAAGTATACGATAAGGAGTCGTAGGGATGGAGGGTACTTGGGTNCGAGGACGAATCTTGAAATTCATCTTCTCACTTTTCTCGCCCCTAAGGTATAACTCCCTTGTTATCAGTCGGTGACTCGTGACCTCTGCGTCGATAGGCACATGTAATTACAGCATGGAAACAGTGGGTTAAATTATAATAAATGTACGAAATGAAAAAGAAATTTGATTCCATGGGTTTGCAAAAAAGATTACATAAACCACAAGGATTTAACTGAAAAACACATGCAAACGGCATGGCACTCAGGTGGGTGGAAAATGGTAATGAAAATGCGCATTAGAATTTCAGCTCAATAGAATGCCACCAAGACAATCATCAGTCATGTGTTCTAAGCGTTTTGCGTGAAGACCTGCTGTAAATGCAGCAAATAAATTGTTCCTCGCCTATAGGCAAGTCACTTCGTTCAGCATGACCTTCACTAGTTTCAATAGGTCATGTGGTCCCTAAATAACCTCACATTAATGAAAAATGGTCTTACTAATAACGTCAGAGATGGAATGAGGGACTTCTGCGACTCATGTGTTCAATCTCTGAATAAAGTATGAAAGGCAATGCCAATCCCGACCAGCTTCTACCTTAATAACGTGTCGAGCACGACGCTGTCATTTTCCTTGCTAATATGTGTTCCTTCCATCAGAAATCTCGTGAAGCACACACAAATCGCCCATAGCGCTCATGGATTCTCTCAATCATCTTGATCTATAGAGGAACCCCTGACGCGCCTGTGATCAAACTCAAGCCATATATGCTATTCCCAACGTATATCCCAAATCTGCTATCAACAATCTACCCGCGTCTTTCGAGGTTATTTGAACGGACCGTACGTTTGATATACCGCAACAATTACAATATATAAATTCGTTTTAAAGTTTCAGTTTGTCTATATACTGCTTTGCTCTTACGTTTGATCCCTTCCGCCATACTTGTTTTTGTTTGTTTGTCTGTCCGGGAATTCGTTTCGACCTGAAGAACGACTTGGAGTGGTCGGATCCGGTGGGGTTGGGTAGAGCATGGGACGAGAAACAAAAGCACACTTGACCTATGCAAAGCCCGCCCACAGTGGGCGGGGCACTCGCTGAAATTTTGTTGTTCCGCTGAGAAATGTTCATAATTCGCTTCCGGAGTAGCCTGAAGATGGGGAAAAATTTAATAAGGTTACTAAGGAGTTGCCAGGCTACCTATGGGAGACACCCCTGAAATGGGCGGGGCGTACTCAAGGTGGGCGAAGCCTCTCATAAAACTCAGTAACCCGGTTCACGAGAGTGTTTAGAAATCGCAAAAAGCTCAGTGCAGAATGTGGATATCTGGCGAGTGTTGGGCACGCTCAAAGTGTGTTGAGACCCACCCACAGTGGGCGGAACTTGTCCTAAATCGCAGGATACTCATTTTAAAAGCTTGTAGCTCGGTCCTAGAACACTTGCCAGTCCGAGGTGGGCGGGGCCAGACAGTTCTGTGAAACGGTTCCAGAGCACTCAAGGGACCGGAAAAAAAGTGGATAAAGGTCAGCAAAGGGTCGCCGGTAAGAAATGCGAGGCACACATGTTGTGGGCGGATGGTTCCATAGCAGACTCCAGGCACCGGCGAAGACGAGCAAAAATGTACAAGAGTCCGCTATTGAAGTGAGATTTACGTGCCCTTTCTGTGCGGAGCTCTGCCGATGTTGTGGACGGGCGAAAGTGAGAAATTCACGAATTAGTTGCAGAGCAGCATAGCCACTGGGGACAGATAGATTGAGGTCCACAAGGCAGCGGACAAAGTGGAGGAGACATCTCAAAAATGGGTGAGCTGCTTTCGAGATGGGCAGGCTCTTGCTGAAAAATTTCGTGGTTCGTATCTGAGTGAGCTTGGAGATCAGGAAAAACTTTTGGTGAAGAGAAACATATGGCGAGAGTTCAGCATGTCTGTGGTGTGTTGAAACCCGCCCACAGTGGGTCGGTTCGCTGGCTGACGCCGGCGCGATTCCTTTTCTAATAGAGGCAGGCTTTGCCGGTTGCTTACTTCGTCGCGCCCACCTGCTTGCATATGCTTGAATGCTCAACTAATACCCGGTTCCTCTGTTCCCGGTTCCGCCATTCATGGACGGTAATAGTGTCGAAAATAGCAGGCATGATGTTGTCGCTCAAGGAGCGTTGACTATGTGTACAGGGTGAATAAAAGCCGGATAATTGTTGGTATCCAGTGTAGAAAGAGGTAAGCGCGGCGAAACCGTGCCCGCCCGCCGCATTAAGGAGGCGCGTCGGCGTTAGCCGGCGAGCCGACCGATTCAACTATAAATCGTATAGACGCGCACTGAGGTTAAAGTCTGGATAAATCGGTCCATGGCTAAGGGCATATTAGTGTGTTCATCGCATAGAAAAGAGCTTAAGCATGTTAGTGCTCGCAAAACTGGTGCCGTGTTCAAGTATATGGGCTCGGATCACCCCTAGAAGCGAAATTCTAGCCAACTTCAAAACTTTGACTCATTGTCTTTGTCTTTTTATTTTTATAGTTCCGATGCTTGCAATTAGTCCCATTTTTCATATTCTGTTGTGCTATGTTTGATTCACGTTCGCGTTCGTTCGTTTGCACTTCTCAGTTCAATGATATTCACTGATGGATCTATGAATTTCTTCTACTGCTGTGATGTAGTCGGCAAGTCGAGAAAAGGTCAGGCATGAGTTAGCGAGAATCCAGTTGAGTGAGGCCACCCGACACTCGGGTATAAACAGGGGCGAACGAGGTGTGAAGTGAGAAGAAAACCCACACACAACCTTTTAAGAAAACGACACCCCCGAGGTTACCTCGCTCTTTCTACGATCGACTATGGGGTGACCTAAGCTGCATGCGCCGACTGCTGACTTCGGGAGTTCCAGCGCGAATACCATATCGATAACAATTAAATGAAGTAGTTTTCACATTACCCGCCCATCAGAATTTTGTTTCTTCCTGTGGTGCTGAGCTAAGGAAATCATGAAGTTGCTAAGAGGGTAGTAGTTAGTAATATGAGGATGCGGGAGACATTAGCCAACTGTCAAGCTGTAAGAACAGTAGTGATAGAAGCATTGTTAGCATCTAATTTTAGCTCTGATTCACATGGCTACCGAAAAGAATCTCAAAAATAGAACTTTGGCGAGGCGAAAGGAGTTCCAAGCTGTGTTTTAATCATCGGAACGTCCACCCCGTGACCACTTTTTTTGGTATTCCTGTGATTAAAAAAATCGTGAGCTGTGGTACTCCAACTGGGACACCAATGCTTAGGCCAGTACTTTCAACAGTGAAGAAAAGGAGAGAAAAACTACCCAAAAACAGTCAAGATGAGGCCTTTTGCTTATCCGTACTGAGTACGAGTGCAAAGCGAAAATATGAGGGTGTTCGACGGTGAGATATCCTTTGTTGGTGTCGAGATCATCTCTTTTCCCCTCATCCCATCATTCAGTGTCAGGGTACAGCATCGTTGTGTCAAACCCATGGGGGGGGGTCGTACCTGGCCGATGGAGAGGAGGGGTCGTAATCTCAAGGGTCACTCAGAAGCGAGCAATGGTTCGACATTTCAGTTGATAGTGGGAGTGGAGCTATGGAAGTCAAGATCTAAAAAAAAGGAAGTTTATTATGAGTGTATTCTTTACAGCTTTAAATGCTACGTTTAACAGCCTTCTTTTCATGGGGAAGTCCCAAGAATGGGTCATACTTGGCCGGCAGGGGGACGTGGGAGTATCGCAAAAGTAGGCTCGCTAGGCATCAAACAGTACAAAGGTGTCATTGCTAAGGGTAATGGAACAGACGGAAAGCTTCTGAAGACCCGATGTAAATAGGAATACAAAATAATAAAAGATTTATATAGCAATATAGCAAGAATAAATAAGTAAATAAATAAGTGTCAGTTTATAGCATGAACTCGTAAGTACGTAGATGACTTAATAATACGTCTCAAACAGATTCGTGCGTGCTGTCCTTTAAAACCCTAAACAAATATCTGCTTGCATGGATAAAAGCACCTGAAATTAGAATTTACACCTTTCCACCACCTCTGCGTAGGAGCCTAATGCACGGCGAACGGACCAAATCGATCAGAGATAGCCGAGCTTCTCTTTCACTCATTTGAAGGGAAATATGCTGTTTTGGAGGCAAACTGAAGTTTTCGAAGGTGTATCTTCACAATGGCACATAAGGAGTCAATTTTTCGGGTGGTCCAGGGGGTAGCGCAAGGCTAACCCATCCAAAACATCTCCTGAACTAGTGGGTCTTCAGAAAAACTGTAATACTTATTGGAAAGAGAAAAGATGGAGGGGTTTCAAGACGACTTCAGTCCTGATGAAATTGCGTTTGAACGAAGGAGTCCTTGTGTGAATCATGAAAACCAGCTCGCGATTTACCCCTGGCCTAACCGTGACCCATCCGGAATATTTCACCAACGGGGGATTGTTCAGTTTGCAGCTAGGTAGAATACACAATAGTAGAAACTTTGCCGTTGCATGCTGCTCACCATTCCTCAAAAGCTCCGCACCTAAAAAAGATATAACCCCCGAACAGACCCCAGGACGTTGGCAAGTCCAACAACCGCGCTCCAATGACGTTTTTCCAAAGAAAGCGGTCGCAGCCTTGCGCCCTGCAGCCTGATCGATAATAGCCAAGTATGGAACGATTTACTGCCGGCCTGGTTACCCTTTTTTCATTTGGCTCTGCATTTTTTGTATTTTCCATGTTTCGCTTTGTTGTGTCGTGCATGTTTTCATTATTTCCCCGTCACCATTCATAGAATGCACATCTGGGCCCTGACACGCTCACCTTGGGGCCATTTTTTTCACCAATTCAGCCTATCATTGATCACCATTAGCCGCTATTTCAATTGTGTTCCTTGGTACAAGTTGCATGTCATACATAGTTATCGAACGAGCAGTTTTATTTTGAATCCTATGACAAAATTGTAGGTAATGCGAGGCTGTTGTTCAGTCCCATATTGCATGAGGCTGAAACAGCCTTCTATTTCCTGTGTTTTAGAGCAGAGTGCGCCTTTCGAGAATCCAGATTCCATTTCAGGAAGCCATTTGTGGTGAACATGCATCCGGTTGTCAGTTAGAGCAGGAGGGGGGGGGGTCGTATCTGGACCCTCTTCGAGGGGGGGTCGTACCCACACCGCCATTTGACACATCCCCATGCTGTACCCTGTTCAGTGTTCTGAATGGCGAAAGTTAGTAGCGAAACAGCTGCGTCCGGTAGACGTTCGAGATAAACGTTGAATGCGGTATGGGGCCGTGGGTGGTGTGGGGCCGTGGATGTAGGTCGTCATCAAGCTAAACTAGCACAAAATGAAAGTGTATTCTTGTGTCCAAGAATTTCGCGAAGTTCTATGAACCTAGACTTTCATCGACGCGTTGATAACAAAGTAACCTCACTATGGTATCCCATGCATAATTCGTTAAGTTCCAGCAATGGAAGCAAGTTGTTTCCATCAGTGGGTATAGTGATATATGAGGACATCAATGTAGGAAAGAAATTGCTAGGGAGCTGAGCTTTTACACTAACAATTCATAGTTCTGTGATAAGAGCATTGACGGGTGATGCTGAGGGTAATGCTAGATTTTGCAGTGATAGGAAGCTGTTAAGCTCTACTTGAAAGGCTGTTGGTGAGAGGTCAGCAGATTAGTTTACCCAGGCAAACTGAGGTCATGCCACGGGCAAGGACCAGGCGTTGGGTTGCGAGACCTCTCCCACTCTGCAGTTCCCCCTTACCGTACATCGGCCCAACAGTATCTCCAGTATCTCCACACCCAAGTTCATCTGATGAGTTCCCTTGAATGCAAGGTACAGCACTGGGATGTGCGAAATGGCGGTGTGAGTACGACCCTCCCCCCTCGAAGAGGGTCCGGTTACGACTTCCCCCCCCCACTGCTCTAACTGGCAACCAAAATGCATGTTCACACGAAATGGCTCCCTGAGATGGAATCTGGATTTTCGAAAGGCGGGCTCTGCTTTACAATTTAGGCAATAGGAGGATGTTTCAGCCTCATGCAATATGAGGCTGAACAGCAACCTCGCATTGTCTACAATTTTGCCTTAGGATTCAAATTAAAAGTCGTCGTTCGACAACCATGATGCAACTTATAACAAGGGAACGCAATCGGAACAGTGACTAATGGTGATCATTAATACGCTAAATTGGTGAAAAGAAAACAGTCCGAAGGTCACATGTCAGGCCCCAGATGTGCATTCAATGACTGGTGACGAGGAAATCATGAAAACATGCACGACACAACAAAGCGAAACGTGAAAAACACAAAAAAAGCAGAACCAGATGAAAAAAATGGATAACCAGGCGGCAGTATATCGTTCTATACTCGGCTATTATCGACCGCAACGTTGCAACCGCTTTCATTGGAAAAGCGTCATTGGAGCGCGGTTGTTAGACGCCAACGTCCTGGGGTCTTTTGGGGGGGAGGGGGTATATCTCTTTTAGGTGCGCGGCTTTTGAGGAATGTTTAGCAGCATGTAAAAACAATGTTCCTAATGTGTTTCTTTTCCTTGAATGTTTCCCCTACGTGAAATCTTTCAGATGGGTTTCGGATGAGCTGGGGTAAATCGCGAGCGGGTTTTTATGCTTTACACGAGGATTACTTATTTCGAAGGCAATTTCATCAGAACCAAAACCGTCTTCAGAGCACATGCATTGGACATACTTTTTTAATTACATGTGAGATGCACAGAGAGAATTTTCATTTCTGCTCCCAGGTTCGAAGAATGTTACGAAACGGGCTGAGCGAAAGTCGGATAGAAGAATATTGTGTGCAGATGTCAAGATTTGTAACCAAACAACAGTTTAAGTCCTGCTCATGTATTATAATGAAAGCTGTTAATATTTCTCATAGTATTTGAGGAAAGTATAATAATTACTATTTTACCAATAAAGTTACTTGGATGCTTTGATGTGAAAGCCAAGTTGAGGGAAGGTCTCCAATATGTTTCATCAAAACTCTTGTTTCACCGGTTTGAAACTAAATATTCAGTCTTCACACTTCCCTATCCATATTCTTCGAGTTGTGTTATAATATGTTTTAACTGGGAAAACAGCGTAATCGACGAGAGGTCAGGAGGCAGCGAGCAAGCAATTGAAGACAGCCCCCGCGCTCAAGTAATCCATGGTCATCCTTCCTTGTACAGGTAGTGCAGCCCCCAAGCTAGATGCTATCCCACTCTCGCAAGTCCACAATGAGCGAGGAGCGAGCTACAGCCGCTCAAAGTTCTAGTTCTAAAGCCCGCTCAGTTGGAGCGCCCACTTGCTAGGTGCCTCGCAGTTGTTTTTTGTTGGGAGGGCGGGCATTAATCGGAACTGCATGTACTTTTTGCTGATCGCGCTCGGGCCCCTAAAGAATTCTGCTCTTTTTCATCACATTTTATTCATTGGAAGCACACACAGTCAACTTTAACCCATCTCGTAAGGTAAAACGCGTAAAAATCACGAATGATGCAATTTCTGTGGTGCAAAAGCTCGACATGCACCAAAAGCTGCACACTGCACGTAACCCCAAATTGGGACGCCAGGTTTTTAATTTTTCCTTTTTTCAAGTGTTTCTCGTTCTTGTCTTTGTTGTTTTTCATATTCTGTTCTTTGAATCGGATATTGTCCACTACTGGGAAATGCCATAAAGCGATTTGGTAGCCAGGGGTTGTCCATGGACCGCAGGGCAGTGTAACTGTAAGGGAGCAATTTTGTTTGCCGTGTTCTTGAGGGCTCTTGTTGCTTTTTTCCTTCATTGAGCAATTACTTATCAGCTACTGTTTCATAACTGATCAGCAATTATCCTTGACACTTTTATCGCGGGAGCGGTCTTTAAGTGAGGTCACGTCGCAGGCTACTCTGCCACCATGAGAGAAGAGGTGCGAAAAAGTGCATAGCACAAACGTCCTACACCCGTATGAAGCATACTGTTTTGACTGCGTATCTTATTTGATTGAAAGACAATAGCTCAACGCTAAATTATCCTGTGTTTGCAGGATCTATCAAGCGAGAAACCACTGAGGGACCTTGAACTTTGGCGCAGAGATCGTCAACAAGTGGCACGACTAGTTTGCCTGCAGATGTTAAGATGTGGCCATGTTGAAAGTGCAAAGGCACTAGCAGGCGAGATGGGTGTGTCGAATGTAGTGGATCTTGAGGTTTTCTCCAAAATTGAACGTGTGAGTTTTCAACTATCTTCCTTGTTATTTTTCTCATTCATGATCCTTTCAAGGTGACCAATGCGTTGCTCAACAAAGACACTGCACCTTGCTTAGAATGGATTGCAGAGCATCGATCGAAACTGCGACGAATGAACAGCAAGTTGGAGCAGGTAGTTCGGGTCCAGGTAGAAATTTTCATTTGCTACTTTTTTCTCTGATTAATCACAATGATCCGTAGGCTCTCCGCAAGGTCGTATGTAGGGGGGGGAGGCTGGAATAAATTATGATTCTGTGGAATGCGTCAAAGACAAACTATACACCACAATCCGTGGATCCTAGTTCGGACCTTGCCATGTGCGAGGTTAATGGGCTGGAGCCGCAGTAGCGTGCTACTTTCCCCGGTCAAGAGTGCACGGGAACGTGGATGGAGGGTAGTGACACCAGATGATGAACCTGAACTTTTCGCGCACTGCGTAATTTTAGCATCGGTGCTTGTGCTGCACTTCGAAGGTAATGCGGACGGGATTGAGAGACGGCACCGTGGTATCACTAAAAGAGGTGATAATAACATGCTACTGCAGCTGCGGCCCTCACCCGAAAATGAGATGACCGTCCTCGGAACTGGAAAATTCAAGAAAATTCATGTTTGAGTTCAGAATGCTGTAGAACTAGTACGGGAAAATCAAGTGAAAGATGCGCTGCTCTATGTAAGAAGACACTTGGGTGTGATAAAGGAGGAATGGTGTGAGGATGCTATGAAGGTGAGATTCCATATCATACTCGAAGACTATGCTGTGAGATGCTGCTTCACATGTTAGCAGCAGCAATACTGCACTGAAGTATTTTTCTCACTCGACTGTATTCAGTTAATGGGTCTTATTGCTCTCTGTGCCCACAGTGGTGTATCTGCGTATAAAGAACTACTAAGCGAGCATCGATGGCAAGCACTAGCTGACTTGTTTCGTGAAGAAGTCTTCGCATTGTATCAGGTTCGTCTACTCTCAGCGAAGAAACTAAGCTTCTGTTTTCTATTTTTCAGCTTCCACGTCAGTCAGCGTTTGCCATATGTCTTCAGTGTGGATTAAGTGCCTATAAAACGCCACACTGCTCTCCTGGGGGTGTGGAGCGATGTCCAACCTGCCAGCCATGTGCATTTACCTTGGCTGAGGGGCTTCCCTACGCGCATACGGTGAATTCAAGGTGAGTTATTTTTTGGTCAAATTGTTACGGCGTACCAATGCTGCAAATTAAGCTCAAAGCTACTTCGTTTCAGTAGTGCCAGCGATTTTTGGTTGGGTTTCAGATTGATTTGTTCGTACTCTGGTGAAGCACTTAATGAGGAAAATCATCCAATGATGATGCCTGATGGGAGAGTGTATGGTGAAAAAGCTATTAGAGAGTTGCAGGTAGGCGGTCATCCTCTGGTTTTGTTGTGTCATTTCTTGCATTCTTTAGTGAAAAGTGATTTCCGACTAAGTGGCATAGACACCAATAAAGCCTCATTTGTTCATATTTTTTATTATTCTCTGTAATAGAGTTGCCCATTGTTACAATGATTTTTAAACAAACCGGAAACCGAACTCGTCATGTTGTTGTGCAGAGTTGTGACCATTGAATGGGTGGGGTGTTTAGCCAACTGCCCGGGGGTTGGTTAGACAATGATGAACAACGATGGTTCGTCTGCGATAACGGGCGAAAAGGATCATCCGTGCTTTGGAGTGTATTCTTTTCCATTATTGTTTTTCTTTGTTTATAATTTGACTTACGATGGGCGACGGAGGCCTTAGAATTGTCTCCCTTTGTCTCCTGAATAAGCTTTATAGGCCTTTCACCTTTCTTACCTTTCTTATGTGCTCATAATTTATTTTTGCTTTCATTCTGTAGCTCTGTGCTCCTGAAGCGATGTTAAACAAGGACAGCTTTCAAGCTCACGTTTTGCTTTCATTTGATGTTCGGCCTTTTCTGGACGAGATGGTCGAGACGAGGCATGAAGGGTTCACTACTTTCTTAGTTCACAAATACGTGAGAAAAGCGTGACCTTCTTGCACCACGGCCCACCCACTGGCCACCGCAACGCCCTACTTTCATTTCTTTTGGAAACGGTGGTGCGGTTTTTCCTCTACTAGCTGTCCATGGTCACAGTGAGGTGATCTGGAGAACGAGCTGACACCAGCAATTGATAATTCATCTGACCACGCCCTTTCTTCGTCTATTGCGCATGAAAACTCGATGCGGCACGATGTTCTATATGAGGCACCCTAAGCTGGTTTTTTTTTCATTTTGTCTTAGCTTTTGTGTTCTTCGGCATCTCGTCATTTATTTATTTGTTTATATATCATGCACGCATAGGTGCGCTAACAATGCAATCGATATGCTTCGAGTTATAGACAATAACGAGAACGAACAACAATACCGTTACTTAAAAATACAAAAATTGTAACGCAGATACAAGGAGGAGAGGCCACTAAACTGCAAGATTCAGGGATCCTGAATACTTAGCAATGTCATCAGGTCAACCTTCTTTACCTTTTCTCTGAACGTATAGGTGTTAGGCGCCTTTTGCAGGTCTCATGGAAGTAATATGAGATATCTAGCCCCACGGAAAAAAGTGAGTTGAAAGCCGGCCGTTTGTCGGCCTGAACACCCAGTACTTACTGGGTTTCAACCTTAGCTCTCCCTTTAATATCTTGAAACAGAACGCAGTGTCATGGAACACTCGTCTGTGCATCAGTGATTTGAGGTTGAAAAGGTTTAGGCGCTTCTGATAGCTGGGTAAACTCTGCGGATGCTCAGGATTGGGAAAACAGCGATACATCAGAACTCTCGTAAAAGTTTGCTGCACCTTTTCAATTTTTGCCTGGAGCTTCTTAATATGAGGGCTCCATATTTGCGAGCCATATTCGAGAACGGGGATGACGTATGCCTTATAAAGCTTCAGTAGAATTAAAGAAAGGTTTTCGTTCTGTCGGATATTCCTCAAGATGGCAAAGAGGATCATGAAAGCTTTACGTGCAATACCATCAATGTGATGCGAGAAATCCAAACTAGAATTCATGAGGATCCCAAGATCACGAACTTCCCTCAGAACATTGATTGAGATGCCGTCGACGGTGTACGGTACACTATAGCTTTTCCTATATGAAGTACAGAAGTTTTCATGAAGTTAACAATTATATCCCAAGCGGTAGCCCACCCCATCATGTTGCATACAGATTGGGTTAACGCTCGGTGAACGCAGTCATGATTATAATTATCATAGATACCGTATATTTTGATGTCATCGGCGTATATTCTGACACTGTCCAATGGGTGGGTCTTTAGGCAGGTTGGAAGGTCGTGGTGTACATCAAAAGCAACAGAGGAAATAAGACGCCTTCTTGTGGAACTCGACTAGTGCAGGGGAAACTCTGTGAGAAACTGTTACCCACTTTGACACACGTGTGTCTATTCCTCAGATAGCAGCTGATCCACTCAAGGATGGGACCTTCAATTCCCAACTGCCACAATTTGTTCAGAAGCTTTTCATGACATACTTTATCGAACGCTTTGGTCAAGTCGAAATAAATAACGTCCACACCCTTCCCCCTGTTAATAGCTAAATTCCAATCAAACAGACAGTCTGCCATAAGAGAGCCTGTGGAAGCACGCTAATAAACCCATGTTGTTCCGCGGGAATCAGATTGTTCTTCACCAAATGAGACACAATTTTATCACGTGAAATCCTCTCCAGAGCTTTGGCAGGGGGTGCCGTAATGCTTATAGGGCGAAACGAGGAGACCTCTCAGGCTCGGGTATCTTAGGAATGGCAGTAACAATGGATCCTTTCCAGCTCGGCGGGACCTCACAGAACATAAGAGAAACATTGAGTATCATACAATAGGTCTGCATAAGGATAGGGCACAGTTCTTGTAGACACTTTGTGGTATACCATCGAAAGGAACTGAGGTGGAGCTCTTAAACGATTTAAGTGTTTTGTTCACGTCTTCGTCTCAACATAAAGCCGCGCTTTCTGTGCTGACAAATTGCTAATATGTCTCGGATATTTCGTAGCTGGCACATTTACGGAAGTGAAGGGTTCATACTTACAAGGGAAGGATACCAACTCGTCCTGGCCATTCAGAATGAGATGTATACTCCTAGAAGCGTCTTCGGACGCTGATATCAAATCTGGCTTCCAAATCTGCTAAACGATTCTGGGTGAGGAGTTACGGACCTTTTTCGCTACTGTGCTTAACCATCGCGGTGCACCCCCTGCTTATGCTTCGCGCTTGTAAACCCTTCGTGACCGAACCGCCATCGTGGCTCGGTGGCGCAGTGGGTAAGTGGGTGGACTCACAGTCGTGCGATGGGGGCTCGAGTCCTTGATGCGTTGCGTAGTTTTGCTTTTTCTTAAAACGTGCGCTCAACACTTGGGATAGTTTTACGATAACTGTACACACCCAAGACCCTCCCTGCTGCCTTATTAGACCCTATGTCTGATTTTTTGAGAGGGGTTTTATTTTGACTTAGTGAAGCATTCATTTTCATGAGCGTTGGTATGGCAGCTTTTTTAACTCATATATCTTTTGTAATTATAATGCGACTTTTTTCGCACTCGAACGTAAAAGTAATGGCTTCATTCACTTAAACCACACGCATACTTGATATGGACTTGTATAAGTGAAGCCCATAAGTGGGCAAGGTACAAGCGAACTACCTTCTCTATCGGACCTTTACATCCCAAAGTGACGTAGGCTGTTCTTCTAGCTGCTAGAGAACTTTCTTCACTCGCCATCACACGTGATCAGAGAGGATACTATTGTCGTCCTCTACGAGCTATCTTCTCCCGCAGTCAATTACAAGGTTGTGGTACAGTGTGTCGACACGCTTGTAATGGACATTGACACTCATTCGTACCCCAGAAAACTCAAAAAAACCTTTTTCGCTGAAACGTTGCCTATAGGTGTAATTCGATGCCCAGATTCACGAATATCACATTCGTTTCGGAGCGCTGGAGTCAGTTTTGGCGCCATTATGCGCCAAGTTGGCGCCCACCATTTTTTTCCAACCAAAGTCGATGAATAACTTGCATATGGGGGTTAATGAGGTCCTGATTACGGAACCAGCCATTCGCGCTAGGCGCTGGTGCGATTTGGCGCCATTATCGCCCAATTTGGCGTCCATATTGGCGGCATCATGGCGCCAAATCGCGCCAACGCTGGAAATCTGATGGACATTTCTAATCAGGACCTCAATTAACCCCATATGCAAGGTTTTCATCAACTTGGAAGAAAAAAGTGGCGAGCGCCAAATTGGTGCATAATGGCGCCAAATGGACGCCAGCGCTCGAACGAGGGGTTAAAACGCGTGATCAGGCCATAGAACTGCATCTGTAGACATTCAGCGATAAAATTTTTTTGAGCTTTCTGGGGTAGGAGTGGTTCAACAGTGCCCAATATTATTTTAGTTATGGTAGGCACGGTCGCAGAGGTGTTGGCTGATATTGTGTGCGTGGGTGATTAGAGCTACCGAACATGTTGAAACTTTCGTTGCCCACACACGTCATTTTATAGGATGGTAATATTTCGCAGATCACGTACTTCAGGCAGATATGCATGTGTATTTGGTCCCTTGCATGAACGAGTTAGGTAGAAGTGTAATTTTTCACGGAAAATCGTTCGCGGGGCTCAATAAAGAGCAGGGAGTTGTCTTGGTGGTCGGACGGGTATGTAAAACTACTTCCGCCCGAAGTGTTGAGCGCACGTTTTAAGAAAAAGCAAAACTACGCAACGCATCAAGGACTCGAACCCCCATCGCACGACCGTGAGTCTATCAACTTACCTACTGCGCCACCGAGCCACGATGGCGGTTGTGTCACAAGGGTTTACAAGCGCGAAGCATAAGCAGGGGGCGCACCGCAATGGTTAAGCACAGTAGCAAAAAAGGTCCGTAACTCCTCACCTAGAATCGTTTAGCAGATTTGGAAGCCAGATTTGATATCAGCGTCCGAAGACGCTTCTAGGAGTATACATCTCATTCTGAATGGCCAGGACGAGTTGGTATCCTTCCCTTGTTAGCTAGTGCTGAGTAAACGACGCGGCAAAATCTTTTGTACATGTCCTCACAAGAAGCATATCCATCGAAGACGCCCCACCAATTTATAGAGGAGTACTTCGATAGCGAAGAGTAATCCGCTTTGGCGAAATACGGCAATGGGAGCTTACTTGGCTTAGGTGAGGAAATGCTAATTTCGAATGGTATTATACAGTGATCAGACGCTGCAAGAGGAGGTAACACCGAAACGTGTATAATAAGATTAGTATTGGATAGAATTATATCCAGAGTAGACTCTCCTCTTGAGGGCATAGTTACATGCTGAACAAAGCCACAGCATTGAAAGAGTTCTAGAAATTTAGCGGAAATAGAATTGTTGGCTCTGCCCATTTTCCACTCAACATCGATGTTAAAGTCGCTAGAACAACCAGATGCCTATCTGAAGTACAAAGATTGAGCAGAGAATCAATGAGGACACTATCATCGTCTGACGTAGAAT